AAAAAAAAAAAAAACAAAGGCCTTTTGAACTTTGGACACCAAACCAGTTGTTCCCTCCTTTTTTCATAACAGTGATGAATAGTGACTTCAGCCTCAGCCAATCTATACAGCCTTTTGATAATTCTTGCGTTTCTCTCCTTCCATCTGCGCCAAAACACCACTGCTGGGACTATATTCCAGACTTTCCTCTTTTGTTCAGGGTTTCCACCTCCAACCTTTTACAAACTCTTCTACTGATCCTGGGCCATATTTCATAAGAAAAACCACAATGCACCAGAAGGTGGTTCACAGATTCCAAGTGTCCTCCGTGTAAAACACAATCAATTGAGTCCAGAAGCATACCCTCCCACAAAAGGTTGTCCCTGGTAAGGATTCTATTCAGGTAAGCAGTCCATACAACAAAAAAAAAAAAAAAACAATTATTAAAGGTACATTCTTGCACCAAATAATATTAGCTGAGACTAGCTTCTCTTCTGTGTTGGAGGTTATAGGGGTATATTTGTGATGTTAATAAATTTTGGGGACTTAATATGTATTTATGGGAGGAAGAAGGGCTTGTGTGAAATTCTGATATAATTGGGTCTTTTGCTTATTTAAGCCATTGGTTTTGTGGGATACTGGGATTAGGGTTGAGTGAGAATGGGCATTTTGTTGTAATCTAAGGTCAGTCATGTATCTTTTGTTCTTCATTCTCATAATGGATATTTTTCCCTCTGTTCCCGTGGATGTAGGCTACTACTGAGTCAAACCACGTTAAATCTTGGTCGTTTCTCTATTTCTTCTTCCTATTTTCTTCTTGGTTTATTATTCTCTTTCCTTCTGGTTGACATTCTGTACTGAGCAAAGCATTGTAGAATGACTTAACTATAAATTTTCCTACCTTGTTCCACTTGTGTGTTAAATAGAATACATATCATTTGGACCACCATATCCACCTACCAATCATTCAAGTTCCTTCTAAATTGCAGAAGCCACATGACACTCCCATCTTGCATTTGCATAAAATCAACCACTCTAGCTTCTTTATCCACTGCAAACTTGAAAAGGGCAGGAAAGATTTCTGACTGTGGCCTTTCTCCACACCAAATGCCCTGCCAAAACTTCACACATGCTCCATCCCCAATCTTAAATTTTACACCCTTTGAGAAAACATTGTATGCCTTCTCAATTCCTTTCCAAACTGAGCATCCATTGGATTGGTTGGCAACTCCTAGATCCTACCCCATGTTTCTATCTGCGTATTTGGCATAGACCACTCTCCTTCACAACCCCCTTTGATTTCCCCCAAATCTCCAAAACTATTTCCCTAGTAGGGCAATATTGACATCCTTTGCCCTTCTCATCCCCAAACTGCCTTGGGTTTTTTGTTTGCAAACTTTGTTCCAGTTGACTAAATGGAATTTCTTCCTCTTTTCTTTCCATCCTATCCAAAGAAAATCCCTCATTTTCTTTTCATTGAGCTTTGGCATTTCTACTGGTGTCAGGTACGTTGAAAGTAGATAAATGGGAAGGGAAGACAACACTTTTCAGCAATGTAATCTTACCTCCATAGGAGATATTTTGCTTTCCAAGAGGCCAGCCTTTTATCAACTCTTTCTACAATTGGCTCCAAATAGATTTAGAGTTGCACCTTGCACCCAAAGGCATTCCTAGGTATCTTAGGGGTAACTTTCCCAACTTACATCTCCATGCTCTGCCTATAGTGTAAGCTCCTGCAGCTCCCCTACAGCTACCAACTCGCTTTTATGCATATCCACTTACAGCCTTGAAACAACTTCAACCTACCTAAGCACAGCTATCTGGGGTAGACTGGACACAGTCCTAACCTTCGGCATTTTTTTCACGCTTGCCGATCCGAGATTTTACCATTACACCAAGTAATGGCCCCTAATCTTATCCAAGGTCAATGCACCTAATTCATACTTGTAGTGACCTTTAATGCTGTGGACAAGTTATGTGTAGGGACATTAAGTACTGTCCAAAATGAATTCAGGTGTAAATGACTTCTTGCTGATTGTTGCTTGAAACTTTACATAATTTGATGATAAAATGGTAAATTACATGCAGTGGGAGAGGGATCTAAACTGCTGACATGAAAGAGGGAAAGAAAAGATTCTGTAGTAATTTTTTGACGGAATGATTGCTGTTGGCAAGAGAGAGTGTGTGGTTGCTATGTTTAATATACATGTACCATCACATTAAGAAAATGTCATTTGTAGTTTTAAATTGAGTTAAATTGCATTTCTGATTGTTATGTTCCATAAAGATATGCTGCTTATAAGGCACTTATCCACTGGTAGCACATGTATACGTGCATTTTCCAATAGCTTTTTTGAACAAGTTGCTTGCTTTCAGGTTTATCGTTAAAAAGGATGCCCCCGGTCTAAGGGTCACTAAAATAGAAAACAAGATTGGTCTGAGGATTGTCCAGAATGGGGATATTCTCTTACAGAATGTCTTTGTCCCTGATGAGGAAAGGTTGCCTGGCGTCAATTCCTTCCAGGATACAAGCAAGGTATGTTTGTAGTTTGTTCTCTTAAAAGTCTTTACCTTGGAACGACTTGGATGCTGATTTATTGTCCTCTATAAGATATGAGGTAGCCTGGATATCATTGTTTGCTTCTGGAGTGAGACCTGGTTTAATAACCTCTCCACTTAAGTGTGATCAAATAATTCACAATTTCCCTGCCTTACACAACAGTAGGCAAGAAACATATAGAAATTATCAGCCATATTTCACAATTTGAAGGGAGGTATAGTCCAAGATAAATATTTGTTGTCTTTACTAAACTGCTATTAAGTTGCTTCAGTGACATCTAACATCTTTATAGCAATGCATTTCAGTTTCATGATCACTCAAACATCAATGACATCACATGCTGATATCTGTTAGGCTAAATTTAGTTTACCTTGTATGACTTGTTTCCAAATATCACATAGAACTTGTAACTTTTTGTGCATATCAACTTGATACAAATTGGTAGGCCCATTGCTTGGTTCAATGGCAAAATCTTTAACAGACAAGCTTAAGAATGAGAGTTCAATTCTAAGAGTGGTTACTGTCCATTGTATCGAAAAAAAAAAAGAGTGGTTGCTGTCCAAAAGAATGCTGAAACTTAGGTCTGTACCCAGTATACCCCTCCTAAGAACCTGGATATCTGGGATCAACATTGTCTATTAGCCCTTTTTCAACTTACTATTGGTATTGGTTCAGAATCCAAGATAAGATCACAACACGGGAACAAACTCCAAGGTGATTTCTGCTGCTCAAGTTACTAAATTTCGAAACTATGCTTTGGTGGTGGTTTCACCAAAATGGAAGCAATAAATTGTAGGGAAGAAAAGAAAACCAGAGAGAGAAGGGAGGATGCGTGGTAGAGTCACACTATCCAAAGCCACCTTGGGAATGCAGCCTCTCCAAACACAAGATGGGCAATGGAATCTCACCATCAAGGGAAATTGCATAGCTCAAACCACCTTGRAAATGGAGCCTTGCTTCTGAATCTACCCCAGAAAAGTTGAATAGCTTAAACTTCAAAATATTCTTTCATAGAAAAGCAATGCCTTTTATAGGACAAGACCATATTGTCTTGCAAAGTAAGAAACATAATTACAAAAACACCCTAAAAAAAACCCTAACCCTATCTCTTTAGAGTCTACCTTGAAAGACTTTCCTTCTAGTATCTTCTAATTTGGGCATGTAGGAGTAGGCTTGGTGGGGCCTTGCATAAGGGGCAAGAATATTGGGCTTGCTAGAAAAAGACAACCCATTGTAGTTATACACAGTCATTAACAGGGCTATGTGTGCATGAACCTAATGCCAGGTAGGTAAGTCCCACTGGTGCTGTATCACTCATATCAGCTTATTACAAATCCATTTCTTTTGTTTAGTAGATTCATTAAAAAAAAAAAAGAAAAGATAAATCATGTAAAGAACATATGTATGTTTTGTGTGTCTCTGCGAGTGAAAGAAAGTGTGACTATAGACATGTCTATGTTTTGGATTTTCTGAACATGCTATGTTGGGCACCTCATATCAATGTCTTCTTAGGCATAGCTCAACATATGATAAAATGATAGTTAATCTGAGACACTGAAGCGGATTCTTAGTTTTGTCTTAGAGGTATGGTAAAATAGTCAATAAAGAAAGACATCCACATCAGCAGAGGGGCAGGGAAATTTGGATCAAACACAAACTAAATATAATCTCATTTTCCTTTTATTTATGTGTATTTGATTAATAGAAAAATAGACTATCTCCCAACATCATCTCAAGTTTCACTGATAAAAAAAACATCATCTCAAGTTTCAATCCATTAAAACTGAAAGGCAATAAGAATCCTATGAAAAAGTAGGATAGATGGTTTAAGTTTGGTTGATATATGTTGTTTAGGTTACTTATCAAAAAAAGAAAAAAAAGGATATATGTTGGTAAGGGTGTTATAAAATTCTCCTTGGTTATTTAGTGGCACAGCCCACCTAGAACGGGCAGGAAAAGTTCCTCTTGGKTTTCCAGCAGTTTTCCTTATGCAAGTCCAAAACTTATTATAAACAATAAATCTGCAGTTTAAGGAAAGCAATATTTTCTAAAATTACTTGCATACTAAAGTTAAACATACTAAATAAAGTAGTATTATATTGACACACTCCGGACAAACTAAGATTCCCAAACAAACTCTAAAAATAATAGGACTCTAAATCAATAGAAATATTATCAATATGGTAATTCCTGTCACAAGCTCATTGTACTGTCTTCTATGTATCAATTTTGACATAAGAAAAGTTTTATCTCCTTAATAAATTTGTCTCATTATTTATAAAATAATCTTGTCACAAACTTGTCGGCTGAATGTAAATTGGCCATATTCTGCTCAATTCACAACAAATTCTAATGAAAAAAATCAAGCCAAAGGACAAGTTTTGGCACCTGAGTTTTATGGCAAAAATACAATGGTAGACTTGCAAATCTCCAGCCTTTGAGTTAAGTTTGAACTAACTAACTTGCCTATAACTTCGAATATTAACTCCTCTTTCCCCTACATCAGTATACTGTTTTGGTTTCTAACTTGTTTAATTCTTCCATCAATCTATTTGTACTTTTATAAGGTTACATAGGATTGTCTAGTTGCTATGTTTTTCTCCCTAACTACTACAAAATGAAAGCAGGTTCTTGCTGTTTCACGTGTTATGGTTTCCTGGCAGCCAATTGGCATTTCAATGGGAGCCTATGATATATGTCACAGGTACAACAAGTTATGACCTCTTAGTAGTTATTTCCTTTTATCTTTTTGTGATTTCATTTTCAGGATGACTTGTTAACATATAAGAGAACGAAAATCAGGTATTTGAAAGAAAGAAAGCAGTTTGGAGTTCCATTGGCAGCATTCCAACTTACCCAAGAAAAACTTGTTCGCATGTTGGGCAATATTCAAGCAATGTTCATGGTTGGTTGGCGCCTCTGCAAATTGTATGAGAAGGGAAAGATGACACCTGGTCATGCTAGTTTGGCGAAGGTAAAGAAGTTAGTATAAGGTGATAATACATTTGGGGCTATTACTGATTGCCATGCCAAGCAATGATGCGTTTTTTAAATTTTAGGCATGGATTACATTGAGAGCAAGGGAGACTGTTTCTATTGGGAGAGAGTTACTTGGTGGCAATGGAATCTTGGCGGATTTTCTAGTTGCAAAGGTTTTTATAGCTCTATCTTCCTTTGTAACTTCTTTATTTACTGATACTTTTCCTTAACTGGAATTATGCAACTAATACCACCAGTGGTAAAGTGTTTGGTTTGATTTGAAATTTTCTAGATTTTTGTTTTCACGTTGCACATGAAAAATAAGTAATATATGCATCACCTGAAGGAACTTTTCCCCTTATGGTAGTTTGTGGAAGTCTGAGGCATTTCCGTTGGCACCCTTGAGTAGGTAATGCTGGGGTGGAGTCATCATCTATCTTTAGAAGGTTAATGAGATGGCCATCCTCTGGGGAAAAGCAGGAGAAACAAAACAAAATGAAAGAAAATAGTCACTTTAAGACTAAAGCAAGTTTGAAAGATGTGTAGGGTAGGGTACAAAACATATGGAGTTCCAATTAAGTAGGTTTTTCCTTCTATCTATCCCATCTTATCCCACAAAAATCTATTAGTTTCTTGTTGTGTTTCTGTTAGTGACTGAGGTCTTGTGTGGAACTTGCGGTTGAGAAGAGGTTTGAGGGACTCGGAAATCCTGTTGGTATCTCTTCTTGAATTGCTATAAGGGGTATGCTTAGATAATTCCATACTACCAACTCTTCAGGTGCCTTGTGCTTCTTTTTTCAAATCCTTACTTTCCTTCCCTTCTTCCTTTTTATCTCTTCCCATGAGGCTGTTTGGTGTGGACTAGTGCCACCTAAAGTTAAAGCTTCTTGTTGGGAGGTCATTCATTTGTAGATAAATGCTTGTGAGACTATAAAAGAAAATGCCTTTTTTGTGTCTCTTGCCTCAAATGTACTTTCTTTGTAGAGCAAGTTATGAAACTATGCACCACTTGCTAAACTCTTGCCCTTCCTGGTGACATTCTCAACTTATTTAACTTGTTCTTTCCCCAACCTAAGAAGAGGGTAAGACATCTTGTAAATGTGTTAGAGCAGCCATTTTTTAGTGTGTGTGTGTGTTGCGGGGGGGGGGGGGGAGAAATGCAAAAATATTCAAAGAAAAGATGCTATGAAGGAAGTTATAATAGAAAATATCACTATAAAGGTGGCTCATTGGGTAAAGACCTCAAATGATGTCTCCACCTTCACCATCCATGATATCATCACAAATTGGCAAATTGTAATGATCACTTCCTTAGTAAGGAGATCCTCCTTTATTCTGTGGTCTCCACCTCTTCATAATATGATTAAATTGAACTTTGATGGATGCAGCCTTCATAGTTTAAGTGAATTAGGAATTGAAGGTTGATAAGGTTCAGACTTGCACTAGAATTCTGTTAGATTTGGAGGAAGATTAGAGGAGATAGAAGAGAAGAAGAGAAGAAAAGAAAGGAGAAGGAGAAACTGGTTCGATCAAGAGAGAAAAGTCACTCTCTCTAGTTGGCCAGGTTATATTTATATGTTTCTATTAAATAAATCAAAAGACTATTATGTCCCTACTTAAGTATGGGACACATCACTTAGCATAAACGTTAAACATCAGCTTAAACATAAATAGAAGGACTAAACTACCCCTATTCAGTCAACACTAACACTCCCCCTCAAACTAGTGAGTATATATCATATAGTCCCAGCTTGTTACATATGTAGTCCACTCTTCCCCGACTCAACCCTTTGGTGAACAAGTCTGCCCATTGACTTCTTGTATTAACATATGCAGTATCTATCACTCCACTAAGCACCTTCTCTCTCACAAAGTGACAATCAACTTCTATATTCTTTGTTCTCTCATGAAACACTGGATTAGAAGACATGTGGACTGTAGCTTGGTTGTCACAATAAAGCTTCATTGGAGTGTCAATTGAATATCCCATCTCCTGCAAAAGATTTTTCAACCACACTAGTTCACAAGTGGTATGTTCTATGACTCTGTATTCAACTTCTGCACTGCTTCTTGCCACAACTGTCTGTTTCTTACTTTTCCATGTCACCAAACTACCCCTAAGGAAAGTACAATAGCCTGTAGTAGACCTTTTGTCAGATACAGAACCAGCCCAATTAGCATCGGTGTATCCCTCTATTTCAAGATTGTTGTAAGGCTTACTTAATTGTTACTTTATAGCTGCTGTTAGTAGGTTGTTGGGCAGTTACAGTTACAGTTACTTGTTTCTTTTTTCTTATTATTCTGATTCTAGGATATGCCGCCAGGGGCATACTTGTAATTTCTGATTCTTTTATGAAGTTAATATAAATAGAAAACTGGCGGCAGCCAATAGTTACTTTTTTCCTCTCAACCGTACCTCTCTCTCTCTCTCCCAATCCCCACGAATCACCACATGGTATCAGAGCAGGTTTT